TTGTCAAGGTGTGGACGGGTGACGGGTGACGTGACGGGGTGCGTTCTCGAAAAAAGGAACAAGAATCAAATGCGGTCGGTTCCTGAAGCAGTGGACCGGAATGATTCAAGAACCCTGAGGGGTCGGTTGAGGAGAATGGCGAGATACCTTAGATAGCAATCACCCGCTATCAAAACAGCGAGCTCCTTATTTTGGTCGATGGCGGGGTTAACCCCAGCAAACAGCCCCAAAAAGCCAAGATCCAAGAGATGGACACACGCCTGTTCAGGCCAAAGGTCGATCAAAAGATCTGGGGGAATGGACGGATAGTAAACTAGGCTGCGTCCGTCGGCGGAGGCGGCGAGGGGAGGTAAGGTATTCCGTCAAGGGGGGGGGGGGGGGGGGGGGGGGGTGTGAAAGTGGTAGACTTTGTCGATGCTGCTGATAAGGGAAATTTGGCGAGGCGAGGCAAGGACTGCAGGTCAGGAAGATATCTCCAGGATTGTCGTACGCTCTCTCGTATTTACCCCGGGTGTTCCTGAGATAAGTGGCTCGAGGGTTGGACGTTTGGCAGCTGCAGAAGCTGTAAAATGATGGAGGGGTGTCTAGATGGGATGGAAGGCAGCTCTTGATGGTGTGCGGATAGATTTGTCCCGCGAAGATTGCAGCAGGCGCGGATGATGAGAGTGCGTGTGCGAGGAAGAGACACAGAGATAAAGCGTGTGAGAGTATCCGTAGAGCGAGTGAGTGAGTGAGAATGTGGTGTGTGTGTGAGTGTCCCCTGCCGGTCTCAGTCAAGTGAGCAATTGTTCTAAGTCGACTTGCCCACTCAGGACAGCTCCGGGATGACGGCAGGTGTGCGTGCTTGCTGTACTTGTCGTCGTTGTCGTCGGGCTATCCACCGATAATCTGCAACCGAATACTCACGGTGCAAGGAGACGGTCCAATCGGGGTAAATACTGGCTGACCGTGCCCCAGTATGCGCGTTGGAGCGTCACCGGCTAGATTGCCTCGTGGGCACTGGGCGGGCTGGTCTGTCTGTAAAGAGTCGCCGGGCTGGGCGGGCAGGTTGGGAAGGAGTTCGGCGTGGAGATCCGATGCGAAGCTGGCTGATGTCGGGGTGTGCCTCACCAGCGGTGTATGGGTTGAGACGGGGTCGGGTGGCAGCCAGGAAACCAGAAAATAAAGAGGTCCACGGTGCAGTGGATAACGGCTGGATCAGATGATGTTCCTTGGGGTCTTGATCGGTGCCGTTTTTTGTTTTGTCGCGATGGCCTTCTGCTTTGTGTCGTTGGGCGGCTCTTTTGCCTACAGAACGACTAGGGCGAATCTGTAGAGTGGTTCGGGTAGAAAGAAGATGGGGTTGCCTTATGTGAAGTCGAACCTTAAGATACTGAGACGACCGGAGCAGAAAGTCCAGGCTGTATCCGTATGCGTAAAGGGTAGGTAAAGTCGGGGCGTTTTGGAGTATGAAAGAGAGAGCCAGGCCAACGACCCAACGCTTTGAGAATAAAGTTTAGAAGGAGGTGAAGATCAGATGACCTCAGATGAGGAGTTTCCAAGCTTTTGATACCGGTCCTAGTCAGTCCGTGTGGTGATTTGACCAACTGGAAACGGACAAGGTATGCCGCGATGTTTCTGGGCCGTGCTGGTGGTGCTGGTGGTGCTGGTGCTGGTGCTGGTGCTGGTACTGGGCCGACTGACTGATGACGAGCGAACAGGAAGACAGGCCGAGGGCAGAGTGCATGCAGTTCGACCAGAGGAGAGCAGCCAGTGGGATGAGAGGATGTTGTGAGGAAAGAGGGTGAAGAAGAGGTGTAACCGTGGACTCGGTAGATTGATAAGTCTAGAAGCGGATGGGGAGGGGAATAAGTGTGTGTATGGATGGCTTCCTCAAGGTAGGTAGGTATGCGGGTGTGTGTGTGTGAGAGAGAAGGTGTGTGACGGGAACAATCTAATGCTGTAAGTAAGGAAGAGTGTGATATCTTCTTAGGCGATGGAAAGAGCCAGACAAATGACAGCAACCGCGAGTTTCTCAATGTAGAGTTAGGTGCTCGGCAAGTGCAGCAGAATAAACACAAACGGAACGGTCAAAGTCAAAAGTAAATTCCAATACGGATAAAGAATTTGTATTTTTACTGGAGTGAAAATCGGTGGCCAGGGCCTGGCGCGGCAGGACCTTGCGGTTGGCCCTTTTCTGTTAATAATTGAATCTTCGCCGGCGGCCACGAGGTTGAGCACGTTGCGTTTTCTCATTCGAACCTTGATGCAAGCGCAAATAACGGGGCCCCATCGAGCGGAAACACCACACACGCACACCCAGCCATCAAGCCATCATCCATGGGGCCGGAAGCACGCCCGGATCTCAGGCGTGCTTGAGAGGGGGGGGGGGGGGCACTCGCGGAACTGTAAGAACGCAACCCAAGACAGATGGGATGAGATGAGATGGAAACACTGGGAGTGAGATGGGGTTGTGGTTCGAGTAAGTACGGATACTGAGTACCTTAATAAGAGACCTCTGCTCTGCACCACTGATGATGAGGACTCGGGAAAGCATTACCACGGCTATCGAGTAATGAGAGGGTAAGTGTAAAGCGGAAAGCTGCGAGGTGGGAAGTTGAGTGGGATGGAAGACACCCCTAAGGTAGAACGGATACGCAGGCACGTAGGTAAGGTGGTATGGATACAAGAGAAAAGATACGCGGCTACCTCAGCCGGTACGGTGTCGAGGCGGGAGCACGTGTACCGCATTACCTTCCCATTCCATTTAGCACCACCTACGAAAACTCGTGTCTCTTTTCTTTCTTTCTAGCCGACCCTCAGTCCCTCCTTCACCAAACAACTTCCAGAAGCTACGCCGTTGCCTGTCCTTTCGAGGGTGTATTGCTTCGTACCGGAACCACGTCTGCTGCAGTGCAACCAGTAGCAGGCCGGGATCGATGACTTGGTCACTGAATCGGGCGATGCATCAACGAGACGGGGACTTCTGGAGCCGTATTGGAGCCGTATTGGAGCCGTATTGGAGCCATTCTCCAAAAGAGGGGCCGCTCTGGACGGGTCTTGGAACGGGACTACGGCGGGCACTGGCTACCCTCACAGTCTTTCCGTCTCAACTCTCAACTTTCAAGTCTTTGTGTCCATGTCTCATGAGCGGGAAAGAAACTTGGAAGGTGCAATGGAGACATACAGTGGTACCTACCGTGTTACCTTAGCAGACGTACGAACTACGAAGTATTCGTGAGGTAGTGGAAGAAAGACTTGAGAAAGAATATTACTAGGGCCTCCCCAGTGCCCCATTTGCAATAATTTTCTCTCCCGCGAGGCCTAGCACCGTAGGTTGGCTTTATTATGTAAGAGGATGCCCGCGGTTGGCTCGGAGTTTCGCTTACACAGTTGCTGTTACCTACTGAGAAACACCTCCAACTTGTTTTCTCCTCAGACAGCCAGACCTCTCACCATCTGTCCCCAGTCTTTTTTCTCTTGCGCAATGCGGCTGCTGCTGCTTCAGAAAATTTTTCCTTATCTTTGGCAACTTTATTACCCTTCTCAGCCTAAAGCAAGTACCCGCGCCGCAGTCAGGCACGCCTCATGCCAAACCTATGCAACCAAGCCCATGTAATGCCGCCATTGTCTCCAAGGCGTCAAGGACATCAAGGGCGGTCACGATGGAGTACATGGGTACAACACGTACATTACAACCTTTGGGGCTTTCTTATCGTCCCTCCATGCTACGCAAGGCGTAGGTAGTCGTACGTCGTACGTACGTTTTGCATCAATGGCATATTGAAGTATCAATGTGGCCCTCCGATATGCTCACCGACTACGGATACATCAACTATATGTCAAACACGAACCAACCCTGACGCGTTCGACCTGCCATCACATCATCATATCAGACCGAGACATCCGCCCATAAGGTAGTCCATGGATATCGGGTGTCTGCGCCTCCCTCCATACCTCATGCCTTTCTAGACGGATACAGACGCTTGCCCGGCTCGGACCATGGCATCACATAGCCCGTCAGATAAGGGCACCTGGATGAGTCCGACTTTGTCGGTTCACGGGCCCTATTACGAGCACGGTCGTTCATCACGGGGTCCTTGTTTTTAAGCACTGCTGCGCCGGTCAGCCCCCGGCGCAAATCAACGTCTCCACATACTGTCAACTGGCGCCTCTTCAGGTCGGTGATCGGAGTCAATCCCGATGCCACAATACTCTCCGAACCCTGTGCAAACTTTTTCTGGCTCAGAGCTCCACACGACTCGCAAACGTGATCCAAAGAAATCTGCATCGTCCACCATCTCAAAGCCCACCGCTTCATTATTACGTCCAAAGCTCGAGCCTTCGGACCATGCCACTACGGATATCAAATGGGCACAACCCTACGGATACTCCTTACGCATACCTATCCGTACTTCGTACCTACCTCCATCCCCGATGCTCGACCAGGTTCTCATGGTACCTCCCCCCTCCTACTATACGTACAGCATGGCCCCCCCCCCCCCCGGCCCGGATGGCTGGGTCCCACTGCTAGCTCCCAGGCAGAAGAATCATCGAATATCGCAATTCTACGCCATGATGGGCAAATTCACTGCACACAACCAGACAACATCCAGAATCTCCCACCCACAGCACATGCAGACACTAGCATCTAGGCTCTAGCCTCACTCTCCGCAGGTCTGAGATTAGCCTCCTCGCTGAGCTACCCGTGCCACGCTCCCACCGGTTACAGCGCTTGCTGCATCACCCAGGTTCGACCTAGCACCGCACCACAACGACGCCTATTTTGTCTCTGAGGGCCCTTCATGCACGTCGGCTGCAGAAGCGTCGAGTAACCGCCTTCGCGGAGGCGCACCCAACGTCTAATCGATTTTTTATTCGAGCCTCACGCGGGTAATGCCATTGGTCATAGGAGCGTCGCTGTTATCAGCCAATTATGCTGTCGTATAGTGCGACATGTACTATGACGGGCGTAGAGGGAAAGGATCAAGGTAAAGGCGCTTTCACCCGTGTGCACACATTCAATTATCCACAGAATTCCGGTTCCGATGACGTTCCGACTAATAACATTGGAGGTGAGCAGACACCCTCAAACCCCGAAGAATGGCCTAGGCCAAGCCGCAGGATTCAAACGCAACCCAGCGGGGCATCCCTGAAGGCTAACGCGGACTGTGAGGCGGAACCTGCTTCTGCTGAAAGTCTAGACGTGCAGCATTTGTGACCGTTGTCTACTAGGACCTCCGTCATCAACGATCGGATCCACTGCCTTGGGACGATGCTCAACTCCCTCCTGAAAGCGGTCCGGTAACGAGCCACGGGAGATGGCGAAACAACGGGCCGCCGGACGACAAAAGAACAGTCGACCTCGACCTAGCTGTCGGGACTCGGGAGGCGCCAATATCCGTAATCTGATTGACAAAGAGATGAGACGACAGGTCAAGCACGAGCAAGAATGCGCCAATGACGACCCAGGAATCGCGCAATGCCGACCTTGCTAGCACCGCATTTTCCTCATTACGTACAAATGGAGCCAAGCAAACGTCCCAGACGACCGCCATGCCGTCATCAAGCGAAGCAACTGGCGTTCCATACTGCTCATAAGCCAACGTTTCCCCTCCCTCTCCGAAGTGGGCATCTCCGCGGAGGAGCCTGCAAATCTCCAAATGTGCACCCAAGAAGCCTGTTGTTGCGTCGCGGTCTGGCCGTCTCCAAAGGAACTCGGCTTTTTTGCGTAACCCACCACAAAGAGCCAAGAGAAAGAACCAGCCTTCTTGAGAGCGAGCTCAGCTCAAGGGACAAGCGCCACTGGGCCCCAGCTGCTCCAGATGCTGCTGCTAATGCAAACAGCCCCCGCTTCGTTGCCGTCAATCTGCGGGTTTTGCGGGGAAGTTGGCCCATGCCTTGTAGGGCACCGTTGCAGGCCAGCTCTCTCGTCGGCAACGTCGCGCCCTTTGACGAAGAGGCTATGGGGACGATGCCGGCGAGACGTATACATGTAGGACCGAAACACGCCAGAGATGGTTCTCGCCGTTGTCGAAGACGACATTGTTGGGATTCTAAACGCACGTCGCCGCCGGCCACTTCCACCGGCCCACCAATTTTACGTTATGGTATTCACCGTGTGTCGACCGCCGAGAGAACCCCTCATCGAGCTTGCAGGGTCCAATTCCCCGGAGGACGGCCGCTCATCGCACACCATCGGTCCAGCCAGATGCTAGATATTGGCGCGGACCCGAAGGAGAAGGAAAATCCGGGGTCTATTGTAAATTGCTGTCCAGCGCCGACCTCGCATCTATTTCCAAGTCACCTGAGGCGACCTTTCTTGACATCCCTGCCAGTTAGCCATCTCCATCAGGGCAATGGACAGCTATCCCCCACGGGCCCATCTTGTTTGTGGGCACCGATATCGCGTGTTGGGGAGAGAAAACTTCATCAGGTCCAGTTAGCCCCTAAGCGAGCCAGTTGCTGCACTAGGTCGGAGGTACTGGAGGGGCTTGTACCCAAGAGGAGGAGCTTCTTTTGGAGGAGCTCACGGAGCCGTAGCCCCATGCACCCCTTTAGGGCCGGCCAAGCTCGAGAGCGATGCTTGTGTGCCCCAGATCAGCTCCGTTCAGCTGCCAAGCCGCCCTGACAGCGGTTTATATGCAATGGCTTTTGATATGTAGGCCTAGAAGCTCACTGTGGCAAACAGCTTTTGAAGACGGTAAGCCGTGACTTCAACGTGACTGTCCCAAGCTCGGATCCCATGCACTAGACATAGAGAAGTCAAGATCCTCGGGTCCCAGTGTCCGTTCGAACCACGGCTGGGACGCGTCTAGTGACTCGAGACCGATGGGGTCGTTGTGAGGCTGGGCCATAATGTTGTCAAAGTATCGCTGCAGACGTCAGTCAGACGTACTGTTTCGATTGGCGAGTGCGTAAACATACCCAGTCCATTTCTTCATCGCCAACGGCCACCCATCCACGATCGAGCCCAGGTTCACTAGGCCCGAGGCCTGAAGACACAAACTCAAACGGCTGGAAGCGATTCGTCGTAGCCGTAGGGAACGATGTAGAATCTGCTCCACAGTTAGTAGGTATATCATCACGGGGTACCTTCACAGCCGTACCATTGATAGAGAGGCCGTTGAGGAGCTGTTGGTCGTCTTGAGCAGAACGAGCCGCTGATTCCGACCCGTCACTCTGGCGAAGTCCCGACGCCGACGATACCTTTGCGCCCCCGTTCTCTGGCGGAAAATTCGGCAGCGACCCCAGCTTGCTGAGCATCGTCTCCAGGATATCCGCCGTCTTCTTCACCTCGGGTACGCCGCCCGCGATGGCGACCCAGACGGAGTATGACCTCTGCAGCAGGTGCAGGAGGTACGCCCTCGTAGGTGGGGATTCCATCTCCGCCATCCACGCGGGCGAAGATGTCGCCGCGGCGGTGGTCCCGTCCGCGTCCATGTCGGCGCCGCCCCAGAACGGTTCGTGGCCGACGGCGAGGTATATGATGGTGGCGGCCAGGAGGAAATCGTGCACGGCGAGCGAGGAGACGAACCAGCCGTGCTGGCTGAGCATGTTGCCCGGCTGGCAGGCGTGCCAAATCGTGTTTTGGAAGTCGAGGAGGGTGACGGCGCCCTCGAGGCACTGCCGGCGCGAGTAGTCGTGCTCGCGCCGCGGCCGCGGCTCGAGGAGGAACCGGCGGTGGAGGACGCAGCGGCTCTTGTTGTAGAGCGAGGCGAGGCCGAAGCGCTGGATGATTTGCATGGGTGGGGTGGTGACGCACTCCTGGAGGGGTTTGACCATCATGAACGGCGGCACGGCGCGCCACGAGGCGTTGAGGAGGTCGTCGAGGCGCATTACCTCGGCGTAGGGCGGCGGGGCGAGGAGGTGGGACTGCCGCGCGACCTGGCCGAAGACGAGTATCATGGCGGACTTGTTGATGGGGTACGTCATCTCCGTGTAGTCCGTCATCGGGCGCGCGGGCGGGAGGACGGGGGTGTCTTCGTCAAAGTCCTCGTCGACGAGGTTCCGCGGGAGGGCGCAGTCTGCGTCGATGCCGTTGAGCATGCTGGGGAGGCCCATGTGGAAGGAGACGAGGAGGTCGAGCTGGACGGCCATGTTCCACATGCGGCGGCGCATCTCCGCCTCGTAGGGGGAGACGGTGCCGGCGAGGAGGCGGTCCGGGTCGCGGTGGAGGCCCATTTTGAGGAGGAGGCGGAGGCAGACGGAGGAGAGGACGTAGCAGTTCATCTGGGCGGCGCGGGAGATGATGAACTCGGCCTCGACGTAGAGGATGAAGGGCGGGATGGTGGCGATGGTGGGGTGGGTGTACTTGCCCCAGACAAGGCAGTAGGCGGCGGCGGCGCGGAAGAGCTTGAAGCGGTCCATGGGCGGCTGCGGGGAGTCGCCCGAGAGCTCGTGGGGCGCCATGAAGGTCGAGTAGAAGACGCCGAGAGACATGACCATGAAGAGGAGGGCTAGCCAGTGGAGGTCGGTGCCGGACGGGTCGGACCAGAAGCGGGCGTACTGGGATGGAGTTGTTGGTGTGATTGTTTGGTAAAAAAGGCGGAAGGGGGGAGGAGGAGGGCGAGGACTTACATGTTTTACAAAGGTTGGTCTGTGGACGATGTCTGCAACGTAGTCAATATACACGTCAAAGTAGCGGGCGAACGATTGCGAGAATGAGGAGAATGATGTACTTACGTTGTGATGGACTGCGAGAGGAAAAGTACCTCATGATGAGTCTGTCGACAATCTTGCGCTCGGGGAGTAGCTTCAACAATTCTTCTCTGCTGCGAGGCATGTTTCTCGAAAAGAGCATGAGATCTGGGGCCTCGATCTCGTCCGATGGCTCAGGGCTCTCGTCGCAGTCGGCCCCTGGCTCCTCAAAGTAGCTCTTCATATCTTCAATCTGGCAATCTCCTCAGTCAGTATCTATCTCATTCCTTGCAGATCCTCTCTCTCCCTCTCTCTCATCTTGAGCGGTAACCAACGCAGCCGGCGAAATCCCAAGCAACGGAGCGATAACAACTTACATCCTCAAGAATAGCCATGAAATGCGTAGCCCCAACATACGTACTCGCCCTCTCCCCCTGAACAAGCTGACCCCCAGGCTGCGCGACGCCCTTCTCCTTCACAGCGTTGGCAGCAGCATCAGTACCAGCAGTCTGCGGTCCCGCGCCGTTGCTCCCTTCATCCATCATCGTCCTCACCATGCCCTCGAGCCTCTTGAGCCGCGCCGCCATGCCCTTGGCGGACTTCTGCTTCTCGGGCTTGGGCGCGTAGATGCAGCCTTCTGGGCGGGATTTCTTCAGGCACTGGCCGCACGGTTCGGAGCGGTCGCATTTCAGTTTGGAGATGCGGCAGGGCCCGCAGGAGAGGAGGACGCGGGAGCGTTTTGCGGCTGCGGCTGCTGATGCTGACGCCGATGCTGATGCCGATGCTGATGCCGATGCCGATGCCGATGCCTGGTGGTTGGTGTATGAGGGCACGGGGGCGGAGGAGTTGGAGTTGGAGGAGGGGTTGCTGCCGCCGGTACTCGGTCCGGCGGGCGGGGTTCCTTGGTCCGGATTCATTGGAGCTTACGGATACTTTGGGTGATTCTCGGGGAGCGGAGGATTAGAGACGGTACACCGTGTCCGATGCCGTTTGTGAGTGGGTGTGACGGGAAAGACGGGGCGGGGGCTTCGAAAAAGGGGGGTTTGCGCCGTGATGCCGTCCGTACTCAGGTCCGGAGGTCTAAACTCTATTTGACGTCAATCACGGAGCCGAATTTTGTCTCTTCTTCAATCACGGGTGACGGCGTGTGTCGTCCTGTAACAGCGTGTAATTGCGTGCGTCTGGAAGGGACCCCGTTCTGGAATGCAGGAGGACGCATGCAAGTCATGTTTGGGTCATTCTTTGGATTCCTAAAAGCAGCCTAAACCATCTAGGCAACTACGAGCTGACGGAGCCATCCGTCGGCCAGTATCGGGGATACGGCGTGGTTAACCCCGACTACTTTAACGACCACCAAAGTTCCATACCAGTATTACAAGTGCCAAAACCACGGTACGCAATGGTTGGGTCGAATTGCATCACGACCCAACCCTTTTTGAGAAAAATGCCTACAAACCAGAACCCAGATATGCTTTTGCTTCTCCCTCGCCGTGCTCCCTTTCCAGGGCTTGGTGGACCTGGGCTCGATGCGCATGTCTCTTCGATCCCCGCGACTTTTATGTCGCTTTTCCGCGTCAAGAAACCAGCCTGCCACAATATGCAAGTTTTTTTTTTTTCCAACTTGACAATCGTATCGTTGTGCTGTCTAAGGTACTTGACGTTCTCCCTCGCGCTGACGGAATGACCGCGAATTCCCTCCTATATCGTTGATTCAAGCTTAAATCGGGGCGTCGGGCAATCTCTCGATGGTGTACTTTCCACGTCCACACTTCATGATTGGAACACCGGGAATGCGACGAAGCTAGAAAGGTTGGTGTTAGCATCGTCGTGGTCTTACAGGACATGGCTGGACATACTCTGGACACGAGGCCCTTGTCGTTGGTTGCGACGAGGTACACTCTGTCTTTAGACACCTTGGACACCTATGAAGAGTTAATCAGTATTTTGACTCAGTCAATCGAAGATGTAAGCGGTTCGGGGCCTTACGAGGCAGTCATCGGCGTACACCTGAGGAGAAACGTCGTTAGCAACTGGTAATCGTGACAGTACTCGCAGTGGGCCTTACTCCTTTGTGTGTGCACTTGTGTCGTTCAAAACGGGGGTCACGTGCTACTCTGAGAGCAAGGCGGAACTTGGGACCAAGCTTTTCCAACTCGGCCATGACACAGTCAGTGACGATGGGGTGACAAGTAGCTAGTTCGGACATCAGCTGGTGCCAACAGCATTCGTGCAGTACCGGATCCTACCATAGAGACAATCCATCATGGTTTCTATCACTGGCAACTTCATCTGAACGGTTCTAGATGCAGGTTAGTCGACGAGGACGAGAGGTATACGTTCGGGCGGGCTTATTATACCGGGAGAAGACTGGAACATGGTTAGCAACTGGGCATTGAGTGGGACGGCGACGGGGCCTTACATGAGGTATCGACGAGGACGCCATAGGGAGGCACGAGACTTGAGTTGCTCTCGAAGAACATCTGCGAGGGGACCTGAGGAATCTCTCTGACGATAGTCTCGCCATCTGGACCACCTCTTTCACGCTTGGCCTTCTGCTCGGCCTCTTCCGCCTTCTTCAGGTTCTCCTTGCGCCGGGCGTCGTTCTTGCCGATGACTCGCTTGACCTAGCAGGAACATACATAGTTAGCAAATTTATTCGCAAGTATCGGTGTCCAGGCGGCCTCGGGCTTCCAACGTCCGCTTTCAGGTATCGCGACCATCGTGAACTTTGGTCCGGGGGACCAAAAAGTTCTTATCGATAAGCATTCTGATATTTTCTTCGCTATACGCGGGAGTTCGGCGCAAAGCAGGAACGGGCAAACGTACTTCACCAAACTTTCTGGTCTTCTTCTGAACGCCCATGTTGTCGGTCTCGTATGGGCAATCGGGTATAGGTTGTCGTCGTCGAGTGGAGGAGTGCTGGCGTCGGCGAGGCTGGACAAGGCTGTTGCGTTGACGTTTTCCTGAGTTTGGTCGTCCAGCGCATGTGGCGGGGCCGAGAGCTGGGAAAAAAAGTTTTCGGTGTAGAATGGAGGGTGCTCTCGGTGTATGGCACTCGGGCGTCAGGTGAAGATGCTTCTGGTCTGTGCGCTCGGTGAGGAGATGGGCCCAAGCCGCGCTGCGCTTGCAAGCAAGGCGGGCCCTGGAAGTGGAGGGTGACCCAGAGCAACCGGAATGAGGGGACAATGAGACTCTCAGGGACTGGACGACAGGCAAGGGGTCTTCTCCTCCGCAGTGTTCCTCTGTCCGCTGTCGGGCGTTGCAATTTCCTCCCAGGAAAAGCAAACGATCGATCAACGGCGCCCAAACGCCGGAGGCAAGGTGGGCGTTGCGCTGGAGTCTGGAGTCTGGACTGGTGGTGCCTTGCATCAGCACTTCTGTGCACTGCCCTGCGCATGCATAATAGGAGCCCATTATGATCAGAGACGGGTCTGATACCCGCGGCGCCCATTCATGGCCTTGCCTTAGTCTGAAGCATCCGGCATAAATTGCAAACTACTGGAGGTCTGACGAAGGCGAAGACGAAGCGAAGCAACAAAGATAGGGGACCACTGGGACTCTAGTGGGGAGGAATGGGGCATCATTCGCATTCCACAGCGAGGCTCACCATTGCTTCATGGCCCATATTTTTCCAACGAGTTTCGAAGATCTTTGGCCATTGGGTAAATGGGTGGGCATCTGCCAGGTACGCTTACCCCGGATGGGTGGCTCGTGTTGATGATGGTTGCGACCTGCAGCCACTGTAGCGCATGCTGGGAGACTGGATTTAATGATTAGTGGGATCAACGCTCGCCTGTTGGACACCTCAATCCTCAATACGAGGGCGGGTGACTTTTGTACAGTCATCTGGCACAGTGTATTTGTACTATACACTGTAGCTATATCCCCAGATTTGCGCGTCTCCTGCAGGTCAAAAACCTGGCTTGCATAAGCTGGCAGCACTGTGTCTGCATGTCTCGCTCCCTCTCGCATTCCCAGGAAATGCGGCCCAAATGCACAAAAATAAACAGACCCCGACACAGCAGCACGTCAGAACCTTCAGGTGCAGCCAAATGTACCGCGCCACAGCCCAGGGCAGGGACGAGGACCGCCCAGTCCGCTAACACGAAATGGATGCTGTAGGCTGTAGCCTCTCGCCTGTGTGCCTGTCCACCACTCGCTGACTGGCGCTCTCAGCAGGTTCCTCCAGAGCAGGGAAGGACCCTTCCTCCTTTTTTCCCCCAGGCCCGGTGTTCCCTGCTGACCAGGGGCCCGCCTTTGCCTTCCATTCCCTTTCTCTTCCCCATCACGCACCCTCATCCCTCCCGTCCCTCTCCTGCTCCCTCCAACCCTCTCTCCCTGACTGACTCCCTCACGTCGAACCTCGGAAGCCGCCCACCCAGCAAACGATCAGCCGGCACCAGCAATGTTCTAGCCAGCGGGACCTTTCCTTCTTTCATATTGCTTTGCTTGTTCCAGTCTGCATCCGCAATTCCCGCGATACCTTCGTTCGATTCTCCGGACTTCATCGCATCCAGCCTGAGCCAGCTGAACGAAGCGAACCGCCCCATCCGGCAGGACAACACAACGACGATCATCCCCATTTTCTACCCGCGGGCACCGATCCAGCCGCCGTAATCGACCTTCTTTCATCGATCCGTCAACCGAACAGTATCTAGTGTCTGGAAAAAAGTGACTGACGCCTTCATCGTATCGACTTCGGAGCATCGCATCCCACCGTAAACACCGACCCCCTCGGACGTAATTGGAGTTCAAATTCGACCGACCATGGTTTCGTCACGCCATTCGCTGAAGCGCACGCTTCTCCTGTCTACCTTTGCCGCCTTGTCTCTCTTCTCTGCCACGGGTCTTGCGCAAGACAATACCAGCGGAGGAGATGCTCAGACCAGTGCTTCGCAGGCAGCTTCTACCAACGATGCCACCACCTCGGCCGCGCAGCCTTCGCGCACCGCCGCGGCAACCGCCGTCATCTCCAACACCGGTGCCGTTGCCACAACAGAAGAGAGTATCACCGCCCCTAGGATCACCGGCACCTCCGATACCACTGGTGATGTCCTCACGGGTTTCCCATCCCTCACCAACCAACCCATTGTGACGACATATCCGCCAGCCAGTGTTCCTCCCACCAACAACGCTCCTTATATGCACCGCTCGAGTGCCCCTCAAGGAACCGTCTTCATTGCTGTAGGCTCCATCCTCGGTGCCTTTGGCCTCGGTATCCTGATCTGGCGCGGCATCATCGCTTGCTTGCTGCACCGCTCCGTCGCCCGCGCCGCCAACGCCCAGTATGTCGCCAACGACAAGCAGAGCTTCCCTGCCCCTCCAGCGCAGTTCTACAAATATACCGATCGCGAATCGACTCCTTCTCTTGTTCCCAATGGTGGACGTGGTGTGCGTAGAACGCAGCGCGGCCCCATTCCCTCTGCGACGCCAAGCCAGTCGAATCTCTTCTTCTCGCCTACTGCAGCTGGCGGCGGCAATAGCAACACCAACAACAATAACAACTCTGCCACCAACCGCGACTCTCGTTTCCTGCCCTCTGGCTTCTACGCTGCTGCTACCTCGTCTCCCAGTCCTGCTCACGGTCACTCAATAAGTTTGACGAACCTCCGCCCCGAATCACGAGGCCAGTATGGAAGCCGCAACAATTTGAGAGAATCTACACCTCCGGAGTCCCCTCTGTATGGCGCAAGACGTGACTTTAGCACAAGCTCTGTTAACTTGTCTGCGGCGCCTGGTAACGGACAAAGAGCTCCCAGTGCTTACCTCGAGGACCTATTGGACGAGAACCCCAACGCCTTCCCACCAAGCCAGATGCGCCCCGGATCTCGAAATGCCAACAATTCTCCCGGTGGTCGGTTCTAAGGAGGATCTTTTTTCTCTTTTCTGGTTTCATTGCATCTGCATCAAAAACAGTTTCATTACGTCATGAAAAAAATGGCGAGACGTCACGGCTTGGGGTTTTTTTGAATGGCACATTCATGGCGTTTAGGGGTATCATCACGTTGCATCACTGGTTTGGAATACTGCTTTTAATTATCATCCAGTGAGATCGGTTGCTTTTCTCAGTACCGGTCTTTCAGCATGTTTGAGATGGAGCGCGGCCCAAAGGCATAGCCAGGTCTTCTCATAGGGCTGCCGCGCATGGGTGGATGTGTAGTTGTATCTTGCCCTGTATACCACGCAGTCGCAAAGGAGCATTAGACTGGGAGTCTTGGTGACGACGATCCGCCGGTGGCATTCTGTCTTCGCTTCTCATCGCTCGCTGGTACATATTTTTTCAATGAGCAGAAAAACTTGAATCATATCTTGGGACAATATCATGTGATTGTACGGATAAACCGACATGTTTACTAACTGTCAAGCTGTATGTGGTCGTTCTATACGTCGTCACGACAACCGCTGACAATCCTGATCTCTTCTGCATGGGAAACCTTATGTAAGTCTGAAGTGTATACGGATATGGATAGAGAGATCAGCTGGTCCGATGTCGTCAGCCCATTTGACTTTTTCGGCAATCATCCCAATCTATTTAACTTTTTTAACACCACGTTGGGCAAGGGGGAAAGCTTCCCGTGGAAAAAAAGAAACATGAGCCTCTTTTCCCCGGATTTGGAGCTGGCGCGGGGGGGGGGACCGAGCGGACCGAGAGCAACGTCGCATGTAATAGCATCTCCATCACCTTGGGTTTTCAATTTAGACTTGCTCGTGATTCAGGGGGAAGGGGGTTACATTTTCACCACTTTTGGTCTTCAATTTTCTTGACAGAACACGAGATACACTCAAATATCTTGCTCGTACGTCCCCCGTCAACTGAAAAACTTCGCTAGGTGTTGTGATGTAGCTCTTTTGGATACCAAGATGTTACAGATGAGACTCACACGACATACACTAGACCCCATGGTCTCTACCTCCATCACGACACTCTACATCTCCCCCCTAACCCCTCCTCTCAAAGTACCAAACCTCTATTTTCCATATCGTTACTTGATCTCATCTGCAAACCGCGACCAGCGTACAGAGTACCAGGTGCAGCTACCCGTCGTGAACCCACCGGATCTCGTCACACCTTTCCAGTGCCATGTATTACACTTCGTTCCCACCCCTTCCCTTCCGTACGACCTAGATCCGGGAGGGAGACGAACGCTGTGGAATCGTGGTAGAGAGACTTCTTCGCTTCGGTCTCGCAACCCGTTGGGTGCCCTGCTGTCCGAGACATTGGGACGACAAGGTAACAGCGATAGCAGAGCGGCGGCGGCAGTAGCGACGACTGGAGCCACGGGGTTAGAGGTACGATGAGAACTTCACGTCACGTTGCAAGTATTCAGTATGCGGAACGTTGGTGTGTGATCTCTGTTTTCCTCATCGGTTATGTTTTTGATTTTCTCCATTTTGTATTACACGCCCTCTATTCACAGCGAGACATGCTCGATGCTTGTGGTATATGGAGGGCGTGGTATGAATCTCACTTGTCCCAACCTCCATCTTTCCTACGGTTCACTTGCCCTCTTTTTCTTGAGGCCCAATTTGTTCTTCCTAAATGCGTTCCATTTTATTTAGTCCTTCACATTCACTGATGACACCACTTCATTATGTTTTCGACTAACTCGATCCGCCAGCTTGAATTTCCAGGGGAGCAGCACCCTCGCTCGCGCCGCGGATATCCTCCAGTCTGATGCCACTGCGGTCACACATACTCCTGAAGATGCCGCCCTCCCGCTGCCACAGCGCGAGAGGCGTATCCAGCTCCGCGATCCGGCCAGCGTCCATGACGCAGATACGGTCGTAGCCGATGATGGTGCGCAGACGATGGGCAATGCACAACAGCGTCCTGCCTCTGAAGCTCGTGGCGATGGTGTTCTGTATCTTGTCATCCGTTTCCATATCGACGGAGGACGTCGCCTCGTCGCAGACAATGATGCGGCTGCCACGGACGAGAGCGCGTGCCAGGGCCATGAGCTGGCGCTGTCCCAGAGAGAAGTTGAAGCCATCCTCTTCGACGACGGAGTCAAGGTGAATGCTTGACGACTCCTTGGACCTTGGATCCTCTAGGTTCGCGTCTGCTGGGACGAGATCAGCCTGTCGCAAGGCGGACCATAGCTCCAGATCCGTATGCTCGCTGAACGGGTCCAGGTTAGAGCGAACTGTGCCCCTGAAAAGCGTTGGGTCTTGTGGAATGATCGCCAGGCGGGATCGCAGGTCATGCAGACCAATGGTCGAGATATCGACACCGTCAATGGTAATGTGTCCACCCGACAGCTCGACGAGACGGAAAAGAGTCGACATGATGGACGACTTGCCCGCACCTGTTCTGCCAACAATGCCGATACGCTCTCCTCCTTGCACGTGCATCGATAGACCAGAAAGCACAAGAGGCAAGTTGGCACGGTAGCGCATCTCCACGTTATCAAAGACGATTTCGCCCTTCTCAGGCCACTCCGGGCGGACTTCAATGGTGTGTAATGGCGCCTCTTCCTCCAGCTGAGTGCCGTAGTACTGGATTCGCTCCACGGCATTCATACCGTTCTCAACTTCTGCGAGTTGACGGACGGTGAACTGGATCATCTGCACGATACCGAGAATGTAGCTGAGTACCAGGCCTCCAATGCTCGGGGGCACGTTGAATCGTGAGGTCACGACGAGAATACCCACGGTGAAGACAAGAAGATTACCGATCAGATCGAGGCGAGTCGATAACCAGCGCTGGTTCGAGAATGTGAGGTAGTACGCAGCATTCATCTCGTCAATGGACTTTCTCAGGTCGGCGATGAAATGAGTCTTGAGACCGTAGGCTCGGATGCTGGCAACGCCGCTCAATCCTTCACCAAACTTTGCGAATACGGTGGATCGAAGGACCGACTCGAATCGCTTGACCTCGCGTGCCGATGCGCGGTAATAAGAGGAAGCGAGGATGAAAAACACGAACAGTGGTCCGAGTGCGATGGCGAAGTAATGGAAGAAGGCGATAATGAGGGCAAACACGGACAATATCATGGCCAGCGTGAAGAAGTACATTCTTATGGCGTCCGTCAAGTTGTTGTCCATGACATCCACGTCTCTTGAGAAACGATTGGTGATTCGGCCAAGGGGCGTGGTGTCGAAAAAGGACATTGGGGCGCGAAGAACTCGCGTTACTGCCTGTCGAAGCATGAACTTGCTAGACTTGGTGCCGAGGATAGACAGAAGCAACGAGAAAACGAACATGAGTATCGCTTGGAGGGCACCCAGACCGGCGTATATGCCGATGTACTGCCCGTCCGACAGTGGATAACGCTTACTCGTCCAGTAGGAAAGCCAAAGGCTGGTCATGATGTTCGCTCCTTGGGAGAGAATCAGGAGGAAGATTAAAAAGGGTGCGTTGAGGATGGAACCAGAGGCGCGGATGAAGTCTCCGTACACCTTCCAGGGAACGCTTGCCACAGCGCGCTCTTCTTGTTGCATGAGAGCAGCGCCCTTCTTGTTCTTCTTATTGTCGCCTTGGGGCGCTTCAGCCAGGTTGGTTGGTGCGGTCTCGTCTTCCTTCTCTTCTTGTGCAGTTGTCTCCAAGAGTTGCTGGAAGCCGCGATGGTCTCTCATCAAGTTGTCAAAGGTGTCGACGGCTTGAATCTTGCCGCCCTCCATCCAAATGACCCTGTCACATCTGTTAAGAACCCAGAGCTGATGAGTTGCTAGGATCCTGCATTTGCCCTTCAAGAGACCGAGGATGGCATTGTCGAAAATGTGCCGTCCCACGTGAGCGTCAACAGCGCTAAGAGGGTCGTCCATGAGCACGATATCGGAGTCAAAGTAGATGGCCCTAGCAATGTTGAGACGCTGCTTCTGTCCTCCCGAAATTGTGATTCCTCGTTCGCCAATCTCTGTCAAATCTCCGTTCGGGAGCATGGCAAGATCGGGCCGCAGAGCACAACTAGAGCCAGGTCAGTATGATTCTTTCCAAGGAAACTACCATGGTGTTACTTACGCGTTGATGACTTCTTGGTACCATGCTCGGTCCATATCCTTACCGAAGAGGATGTTGTCACGGACCGTGGCATTTTGGATCCATGCATATTGTGGGCAAAAGGCTCGGGAAGCGCCAAGCACAACTTCGCCAGATGTTTTCCTCATGTCACCCGCGAGCGCGGCCAGTAGTGAGGTTTTGCCGCTCCCGACTGTTCCAATGACTGCGACAAGCTCATCCCTCTTGATCTCAAAGTTGATGTCTTGCAGCTTGAAAGGTTCGCGTTCCTCCTCGACAAGCGTACTGGCACCGTCTCCAGTGCTGTCGCCAGATGAGGCCAGTGGCTCGTCAGGCTTAGAGACATTCTTTGCAGGCGCTTGGGTCGCAACCTTCTTGGCCCCTTTTGCGGCACCACCAGCAGGCTTCTCAGACTCCTGGGTTGCAGTTCGCTCCCAGGTAAAGCTAGCATTCGCCATCTCCAATGCATTCTCACCCTCTGGCTTGAAGACCACATCTTCCTCTTGTTCTTCGGCCAGCAAGAACTCTTGGATTCGTTTCAGTGATGACCAGGCATCGACGACTTGACCAAGGACTAGCGGCAGCAAGTTGAGCGGAATACGAAGACCGTTGAACAAGGCCAATGATGAGAAGACCTCGGCGGGGTTCAAGGCGTTGTTGGTCTTTGCATAGGTGACGAAGGAAAGCATGGAGGCGAAGATGGGCAGAGACAAACTGACAGCGTTGATGGCATTTCGGATTGCCAGCAAGATTTGAATGGCGTGGATTTCCCGTTTTCGAATTTCCTTCAGACGGTCGAGGAATGCGGTCTCCCACCCAAAGTACTTGACGAAACGGACCGACTGCAGAATTTCTTGAGTCAAGCTAACTCTCTGATCCGTGACCTTGTTGATGGACTTTCTCCGCTTGAATAAGCTTCTGATGGCTCTTGTCAACAAGGGGATACCAGCAACCAAGAGAGCGAATCCGGCAAGTGCACTATAGCTCAAGTTGATGAGCAGAACGATCAGCGTGATAACGCAGGAGATGGGCGCAGTCCAGGTCAGATGGAAGAGAGCTGACGCTTGATCAATGCGATATGTATCAACGCTCATGAGGTTGACGATTCTGCCGTTACCCCATCCCGTGCCATCTCCGGAAATGCCAGGACCTTTGGCGTCTCCCTTCTTCGCATTCTTCTTGGCCTTCTTCTTGCCTTTCTCGTCGACTTGCGGGGCGTCTGCGGCGGAATCTTTGATGCCACCAGCTTTGGCACGTCCTGATAGAGACATGGCCTTTTCAAAGATGACGCTGATGAGGACTGCCCTTGACTGGCCACCAATCATCATGCCGCGATAGATGAAATGGTTCGTGCCCAAACTCTGGAAAATCTGCATGAAGGTGACACCGATCACCAGGCCAATTCCCCTGCCAATCGCAGGAGGTGGTGAGCCCTGTTGAGAAGCTGCGTAGGCATCGTTCGCGAACTGGATAAGGTAGCGCAGGGTGAAGGGTGACATGACCTGGAAGACAGTTGACGCGAGCTGAAGCATACCACCAAGCCAAAACTCGAAGAAGTAAGTCTCATGTAATGCCCACAGCAATGGGTATTTGCCTCCCTTGTCAATGTGTTTCTTGAAAGAAGCTTTCAACTTGTCTGTCATGACATCTGTGCCCCTGTCTGGGTTGACAGCCCAAATATCGTTGGGTTCAAGCTGCCGCTTGTATCCGGCCTGGCACCCAAGTCAGTCTTTTTTTTTTTCTCTTGGTTTATACTTGGCTTGTAGTGGCTCAAGTCTTCCTGTCATTCAACTAGGCCAGCGCAGTTTCACTTACACTCATCAGAGGGGCCATCCATTGGAAAGTCAAAAGACTGAAGAAGCCGGCTTTGTACTCCCGGGACACGATCTTCTCATCGGGGACAGGAGGAATGCCGCCCCATTTCAGTGGATTTGGCGTCTTGTACCATGGTTTACTTTCTGGTAGTCGATGGGCTGCAGTTGTGGTGGCGACGCTGGTATCGGTGGCATGGCTCTTTGTCGCCTTCAGCTCTGGTCTGATCTTCTTCTCGTCAAAGTCTGAGCTTTCATCCTTCTCATCTGCCTTGTCGATATCAATGGCGAATGTGGCATCCTCTGGCTCCCGGGGTGTGACGGGCTCAACAGCAGCGGCTAGTGGGTCGGGAGCCGTGATGTTTGTTTTCTCGTCCTTGTCTGCCATTCTCTGGCGAAAGACTCAAGCGAGCCTTAGCAGAGAAGTTGATCTTCAAACCGGGAAGTAGAGCTCAAGTGTCGTTTCAATGATGGCGGTGACAGTGGATCTCGCTACAAGTCAAGCGCCAAGGAGACAATATAGATGCCGAGCCAGTTTGCTCTGCGCTCGTGGCGTTGACGGGGATGGATGTTTATGTCCGTCACTTGGGCAGGCTAGCTTATTATGGGGGGACTAGATGGGCGCACCCGAGACCCGCTTACAAACAGCGAAGGAAAGCTGTCGAAATCCGTTTGAAGAGGTGACGAAGTCCGAAGGGTTTGGAGCAAGACGTTTCGTCAGGATTCGCGTGGAGAGAAGAGAGCGGAGGGGCAAGGATTGGCGGGTGGAAAAGGAAGAAAGAGTCAGGAATGGTCAGCTACGCATCTCTCAAAAAGAGAGAAAGAGAAAAGTGCGTGTAATGATAAAGTACAACCGACAGAAAGATGTGGACAAAATGGGACAGCCTGCAGTAAGGTAGATAGATTGGCACACAGATGGATCAGATTGTCCGGGCCAGGGAGACGGGATTTTCTAAGATGCTCTCACTCTCCGAAGGGGATTTCTAGCAGCCGGATAGTGGAGGTGGATGGGCCATTGTGACCACAGGTACCACTTAGAACAAAGGACATTCGTCCCTGCAACATGTACTTCGTACTGGCGTAGCAGCAGAGGGAAAGCAAGCTGCAGTTCAGTTGCGACTGCTCGATATACACAGTACATGGGGACAAACACCAAGGGGGGCGACTTGGGAGTCTGGGAATTGTGCGTTGTACTTTGGTTCCGGTGGGAAAGAAAGGTGCAACGGCACAGAGGACGAAACGGGACAGGATGGGGCAGGAGGAGACAGGGATGCTACGATATGACTAGCACGAGGCAAGAAGGTGACCATTCCCGGCAAGCGCAACTGCGCAAGTGACTTCACACTGACTGCATCATTCGATGCAGGCAGTGGCAGGCAAGCAGGCAGGCAAGACTTGTCGGACAGACACCCGACGCACCTTCGGTTTTTAAGCGGCCACTTTTTAGCCGATGCAGTTGTTCTCTTGGGGGCAGGACCGGACTGGCAACGGTTCGGCAAGATGAGAGACAAATAGTTGAACTAGCAACAAGGTGCTGCTCGGTGCTGACAACTCAGTCTTAAGCTTAACCAACAAAAGGTCTGCCCAACACTGCTTATTACCCACGTTTACGTGTGTGTAAGAAGATGCATCCACAATCTCTCTTCTCCTAGAAACTCGAGATATTACTTCTCAACATTACAAAGTTCTAGGCCCTTTAGTTCGGGTAATCCGACCTTCCACGACGCCGCGTGCGTGTTTCGATCTGTCCTGCCGTGACATCGGCAAGTCGAAACCAAACCCGGCGAGGTAGCTGACAAAGCCGCGTGGTATTCCGAAGCTACGCCTCGAAACCGTCTCCTTTTTCGACCACTATTCAACTGGATTTTATCATTCTGCGATTGGATACTCAACGTGCTTTGTCGAGTTCGATATGCTTCCTATTGCGCATGTCTTCGTATTATTCGGAGACCGGCAGAGACTCAGCACCTGTTGTGCTCCTCTATCAGACGAACGCTCAACTCTGCACCATCTGAAAATTGCCAACGACGAGTGGCGAACCCCGTCCCAACAGCCAGCATCCAACTCACGACTCAGGACAATCGACAGGACAGGTGAACGTGCAGATTATTCCAAGGAATTTGTGGCCCCTTCCACACATCATATTTGTTGTCTTCTCAATTGATAGGTATCCGTCGCAGCTGGACCCGCTGATGCCAGGTATCCCGGGCACCAAAGACGAACCCTTCAAGAAGCCTGGTGTTGATAGCGGTCCAAGCTGGCCTCGAAAGACCGGCACCAGGATAGGCAAACCGCTTGCCGGCCGCCTGCACCCAACGCCCATCTCTGAAGCCAACCACCCTCGTGGAAAGATCGTTGGCGCACACACATCCGCTGCAGTGGACGGATCCATGATTCATCAAACGACCCTGGACTTGGGAAGAGAGAAAAAATTGCACAGAATGCAATCCGAAGCCAGTCTCTTCACTGGCCACGTGGTCTACAACCACGATTTGAGACGAGTCTTGCCAAGCCGCGTAAGACTGTCCAGTCTCGATGATCATCCGAAGTTGTCATATCACAGTTGAAGCAAGGTTTCTCTTGCGTTCGTTCTTCTGATGGATCATGGACCTGCGATTAAGCTATTCTTGGCAACAACTGATGAACCTTAACCCCTCGTCCTCGTCAAGAGCTTTCTGTTTCCTGAACAAGAAAAAAGAAGAGCAAAAGACACGACTCCACACCACCTCAGTCTGAACCCGTTCGGATACCTAGACGACCCATTTCTCCCCGTCATCTTGGCACAAATGTTAGTTGAGTTGGGCTTTTGGCCGAACCGGTACCGAGCTTGCCGGGCACTGGCGGACTTAGTCGGCAAGGACTTAAGCCCCAGAACGGCCCATGCCACCCTCGTCTACTATGTTCTCTAGTCTTCTTAGCCTCTCGATCTGAAGAGCCTAGCAAGCAGCTCCGACATCTCACCACTCTATCCGTACCGCCATACACTTCTACGAAGTAGTGTGTTGATGGGACGACCAGGCAATTTGAAATTGTCTTGACACAAACCGCAGTCCCCAACGTTCCAGTATCAGAACTTCTTTCACATCGTCATGAACATTTCATAAATTCTCAAACGGGAGATTGTGCAGCTTGCAAAAGAACACCTGAAGGGGGCGGCGGGGAGGAGTTGGTCGCCAGTCACCACCGGCTCCACCCCCTCGGAGCCGGCCCCCCGCGAGCCAACCCGAAGTCCTGGACTGACAAGCCTAAACAAGTAAAAAGATGCTTCGAGGCTTCAGATTGATAGGCAGACCACTCGCACTCGGCACTACAGTATGTTCCTACTTACCTGGGGTTTACGGACGAATGCAGGCCTTTTGCAGCGTGGCTGTGTCACACGACTGCAGACGAGAACGAAAACCACGGTCAATCGAGATGAGCTCTACCGACCTGCAAGTGTTGAGAAGTGACATTGTCGTCAGCTCATCTTTCTTTGGCAAGTCCACCAAAGTATTGGACTCATTCGGCCAAGGTGCTTACATCGACTATGCGGCGTAACTAATGCCCTTCTTACTCCTCGCCCGCATCTCCGCAACTACTTGCCCCGATCTGACACAGAGTCGCGGAGTTCTCTCGTAACGATCCCGCGCGCGCGTTGGTTGCAGTGTTGCACCTCGTGTGATGGCGGTTGGATTTATAAGCAGGCGCGCGCAGGTACAACCGCCTCAACTACGCTGCTAGGCAGCGTGTTGTCCACGTAGCTCAAGGACTAATCCACTGTCCGGACATTTGAGTCAATCGGCCGATCTGAGTCAACGTCTCATGCTTAGTTCCTCCTCATCCGGCGCACCCATTCAGCATGTCGGTCTTTGATTCGGGCATGAGAGCTGAAGGTGCGGTGTAGCAGGCATAGATGCTACGTGCATCGTACGTTGTAAGTCTGCAGAGCTGCCTGTCTTCAGTGACTGCCCAACAGCCTTGCAGAGTGAGGTACACGGCTCAGTCAGCCACCAGGAGCGAAGCAAGGTGCTTGCGCAGGTCTGCCCCACGAGTTGAGGTAGAGCTAGAGGCCGTCTATAGTATAGCTTCGATTTTGGGGAGGAGAGCCTGGAAGAGTTGATCCATGAACACCGGGGAGGTCTCCAGTTGGGTGTGGCATGGGGGCGATGAGACGCGGCGAGAAGATTCTCGGCGACCTTGGATCAGAAATAAACTGTGATATGGTACAAGACAAAACGATATGCCCGGTAGACGTTGTTGATCAACAAGTTCCTCTATCACGCCATGACCTTTCCTGGAGAGGATCAGAAAAGTGTTTTGATATATATGTCCGCGATAACCTCTTCTCTTTCCCGACTACGGCACATTCGTATTGGAGATTAGACCGGTGAAGAACTCAAGAAATCGAATCAGATCTCTCTTCCTGGGGTTTACACCTATCCCTTCCTCATCGCATGTAGTTGCTTTCAGCGGGACGGATTGGGTCAACTTTTATTCGAGCCTCTTATCCGGGGAAGACAAGCACGCAAGTATGCCGCAGGGTTGCGACATCAAGTGTTCTCCCCCCTGACCTCGGACAGCGAAAGTAAGCATGATTACGTTGATTGCGAGCATATACATATATATATACTTTCTTACGAATACAAGGCAGAACATTCAAACATGAATATACTTGCACGTTATATCTGAAAAGGTCTCAAGTCTGAAAGAAATTATCTTACGAGGCCGTCGATGGAAGAAACCAAAAGTCATCGATCGCCCTCCGGTAAGATAAACATCCAGAAACGAGGTGCGGACTAGATAGGCGTGAATCAGTGTCTCTACGGTAGATCTTTCAAGTTGGCATTCTACACAACTAGACTTGGTCGTCTACGGCAAATGAGAATCGTCGACTATCTCTAGCGACTAGACAGTCGTACAAAGCTGCCAACGAGTGGCTCCATCGGACGAGGAAAAACAAGAACAGTAGACCGAAGCTTATTGTCTCGCCACTCGTTCGTTACTTTGGCTATTTGTTTTTTGTGTTCTGCTTTACGGTTACTTTGGCTATATCAACACCAAAGCGCGTCTTCGGACCTCAGGGCGAGTTCGGAAAACTTCACTCGTCAACCAACTTCAAACGTTCCTCTTGAAAAGACATTCATGGGCAGTTACGACTCTCCAATTAACATCATGACCGATGATGCCTCACTTGCGCTTCTCGTCCTCGAGTCAACACCATCTCAAATACAGTCCCACAGGCAACACAGTCATCAAGAATGATTTATGACGTCTATTGTAACTTGCGTGCCTTACTGCGGCACGACGGTGATGAAGTTGAGAAAAAAGGAGACTAGCGAGACAAAAAAGAAAATAGCCCGTACAAAAGACACAGAGAAAAAAAAAAACACCCCCAAGACACGCGCCCTATAAGATGCCCTCCTACTCGGCGTCTTGAAAATGTTTCCACCGCCCTCCTTCCCGTGACCATCGCGCCCAATTTTTGGTGTATTTGTTCCATCGTTCCAGCTAGTATACAACTCCTACGCCCACAAGTCTAGAAAACGACCAAAGAGAAAGGAAAAAAAACGACCAGTACAGCCCCGTCTTGCCGCCATCACAAATGAAAACGACGGCTTCAGGGGTCTAGGGACCTCGACGCTGGCGTCCACTGCGGCGTTGGCCAGCGACGCGGGACGACCCAGCCGTCTCCCAGGACGGGTTCTACTCGTCGTCGGAGGCGGAGTCCTCTCCGTCATCAGCGGCAAGGCCGAGAAGGGACCTATCCATATCGTCCAGCTCTTCTTCGTCGTCAGGCGCAGCCGTCTTATCCGCATCGTCGATGTCGTCCATGGTCATGTCTCCCATAGTCATGTCGCCGAGAGTCTCGTCACCGTCGATGTCGTCGTTCATCCGGGATTGTGATCCATCGGCCCTTTGGGTGTCAAGATCCATGGTCATATCGCCAGCATCGCCGTGGCCATTAGCCTCGCCATCGGCCTTCTTCCTCTTCCTAGGAGGAATAACCCCCAGGGGTTCACCTTCGTGAGCAGACCATCGGGCCAGTCGTCGTGATGTGCGTCTGAATGCTGCGGCGTAGGCGCTTGCCTCTTCACCGAAATCATCATTCTCAGTAGTCAAAAGTACCAGGCCGCCGAATCCCTTTTGACGGAAGGCGCCGACGGTCTTATCGCCGGAAGAAGCCAATTGTCGCTGCGGGCCATCTTCGCCCTCGCTGTCTTCAAACGGGTTTGGCATCTGCTGGATACGTTTGTATGCTCGGTATACCGCGCCATCCTGTCGTCTAAACTTCCTGGCCTTGTGGTGTTGTCTCCTTATGCCCCGGTCGAGTATGTATTCGACCCTCTGATTTCTGTTCCTCTCCACCGCAATTTGGTGTGCTGTGGGAGGCCGGGGTTTTCTTGCGACAATACCCTCCGCTGAACCATGAGCTGGACCGGCTGGCGACGAGGCCTCAAAAATTTGATACTTAAGAGGTGCTCCGCCACGTCGGACCGAGCCCCCAAGACCTCGTCCTAGTGCTTTCGGTGGTGGCGTCGAACGGGTGCTATCCATATCAGACTCGTGTTTCGAAGGTCGAATACGGGGTAAGATGGCAGGCCCATCCTCGGCCATTACACGAGAAGTCCTTGACCCTCGCTTCGTCTGACTGTCGGCGAGATAGGCCTGGTCTGCTTCTAGAATCTTTGCACGCATCTTCTGCTTCTCCTCGCCAAACTTGATCTCCACCTCTTCATCAACGTTTTCGGCAGCCTCTTCATCTGGGGTCATCTCGTCTAATTCGGGGACGCCTTGATTAGCGACATCAACGCCATAGTCCACACCCGGGCCGAAGGGATTCTCGTCACAGCCCTCCTCCGTGAAGTCGGACTCGAGGTAAAACCACATGATCCAGAGAAATGCCTTGGCGCGAGACTGGCTGGTGAAATTTGTCTTCATGACCAGGTCGTGGAATTCTCGCCCGGGGGGGAAATGCAACTCGGCGATCTTGGAAGCCGACTGGCAGATGACGAACAAGAGGTTGACGGGGTTTGTCCGAGGAACCTCTCGAGCCTTGATTTTGTTGAGACTCGAAGGCTCTTCACGATCCTCGGCACCGCCCTTCAGGATAGACTTCAATCTCGGGGCATCCTGGAGTTGCTTGTATGCATGCGCATCTTGGTGCGCCTGGAGCGAGGGAATGGCATGGTAGGTTCGCAGCTGGGCTCGCATCTCGGGGAAGACTGTCCGTTTGTTAGCATATATCTAGAGACAGTGAAGGTGGAGATGGACCGACAATTGAGCGTTGTGTTCATTCTGCCAATGTTGACCAGTAGGCAGACCATGGCCATGCCTTTCGCCGCGGCTCGATCGGTAAGGAGTTTGTCGCGAAGGACCTTGCTGGTTTTGCTGCTACGGGACATTGTGTCGATGTAGAGATCGGCGAAGTTCTGGCGAGGCTTCTCAGGCTCGTACGAGTTGGTGAACACTACTGTCTCGTCATCGAAGATGGCTTTCAGGAAGTCGTATTGGATGTCTTTGCGCCAGAGCGGCTCGCCATCTTCCTTTTTCAGGTGTCGGATCTTTCCCGTGACAGCTCCAGCCGACTCCTTTGCTGCATTCTTGCCCTTGCCGCGGCCTGTCGTCTTCTCGCCTGGCTCGGGGGTCCCGTCCATCATGCGGGTATCGTCATCTTCGGTCATCGCTTGCGAGAGGAAAGATTTGCCCTCATCGCCGCGCGCCGGAGACGTAGGTGCCTCTGCGTCTGACATTGCGCCGCCCGCAGTAGAATCGGGAGAAGCGGGCGACATAGATGGAAGGCACGAGGTTGGTCAATCGGCAGGGTCGATTGAATTAGGGAAGATTCGGATGGCTTGCGATCATTGGATGCAGTGTCGTCGAGCTCGTAACACGAATGCGGAGAGGATGGTATGATGGCCGCGACTATCGCGATTATCGAACTAGTAGCTGTTCGAGTTAAGGGATGGGTTGATGTTGGAAAGGTGATAGTTTGCAAAATTAGGTGAAGTGGGAGGAATTGGTTGATGGATAGGCACAAGTACCATGTAACGGGCTGAATTGGATAGCACTTTGTCCACCGCCCAGACCAGCTGCTGATGCTGAGATACCGCCAACTATCACTGGAAAGCGAGGCACAGAGCCCACTTCAGAGCTCACGATTTGGGGGAGCGCGTCAGGCTGATCCCGACCACTAAAATTCCAGGCTTGTCCGCAGCCCCTGCCCGTGGCCTGTACGTACCTACCCTTGGGGCCACAGCCTGGCGTCGAGGCCAGGTTTCTCCGGATCCAACTCCACCAAGTGTTCGTCACAGTCCATAGCTCACATGACACTCCAAATGGCTGGCCGTCGATCGACAAACGGCGAACACAGCTGAGTTCTTTAGAAAACTTCATCTATCGTGGCGCCACTTTATACCATGGCCAATGATGCTGCTGGAGCGGAATGAATTTGTATCAATTCTCATTTCGAACCTGGTTCTATTACGAGCAGTGAACGTCTGGACTTTCGTTCACTTGATTGTTCGCTTTGGTTTCGCTGACCTAGTGAACGTGACATGTTTCGAAGGAAATGCAAACCGGCCAAACAACTGTCCAGAATCTACTATATTGGCGAATCCGAGGAAATAGAACCTGCATTCATACGAGGATGGTACAATGCAATTGCAGGCTGCTAGAGCCTCACTGTACCTACATCGTGAGTCTTAGGTATTCCCACCATCTTTGGCGACAGACATCATGATTCGCTTCAAGCATGCAGCGTTTCCATTTTTTTTATCAGAATCTGTTTTTATTGGGACTTCTCAGTCCAGACTGGCTGTCTACCAGGGGATGGCCTTGCACGGCCGCCTCGCCCCGAACCCAAGACCGAAGTCTCTGATGCCTCCAGCCCCCCGCAATTCCTTTTCCATTGCAGGAGCTTGAAGACCATGTCCACGTTGTGGCCATTACCGATTAAGAGCAAGAACTTTTGTATCCCCTCCCTGTGAATCCCTAATCTGTGCCTGGGAGGGCCACTGGTTCCCGCTCTCAAAACGTCTTGTGATTATCCGTTCTGTCGACCGTCCATCCGAACCTTCCATTACCAGTCCAGTCTATGCCGCCGCCTTGTCCTCAATATCGCTGCCCTGCCCTGTTTGCCCCGGGGGCAGACCTGCAGCGTCGATGATGACCAGACGACCGAGAAAATCCACTTTTGTCTATTGTATGCACGGCGAGATGCATGACCCTTCTATCATCGAAAAGCGTCGAATATGCCCTTCGGGGGAAAACGCTGGTAGAAAAGCAGAAACATGATCGTCGTAATGCGTAGGCAGATCCAGGATCCGTGTCGTGTATCCGTAGATCCGGCCACGCTGCAGCACATCGCATGTGTTGTCATGCAGCTCTGCCGATTCTCAAAGCTTTTCCCAATGTCGATCTAAGGGTATCATGGAGTTTTCGGTCCAGCAAAATCAAAGAAATGCTCTCTATCGATGCCGATGCCTGTCCGAACACCCGATGATGCTTTCTCGTTGGAGTTTGAGAGGCACAACCATTGGCTCTCGGGGTCATGTCGCCGTGTCGAAAAAAAGTCGAAATGCAGAAAAAGCGTGACGATGAATGCGTACCATGTCGACCCATGCGCGCAAACCCAAAGGAAAAAGAAAACTCGAAAACTCGCAGCTGCTTGGAAAAGCTGCCTGGCTGCGTACTGCAAGATCTCTGTCTAGTCCGCAGTCGCCAGATGTCGTGATGGAAAGATGTTTACCACCAAGACGAGTTTCCGCCAGGGCCACCGGGGTTGCCGTAGCCACCGCCGCCGTAGCCACCACCACCGCCGCCACCGCTGTAGCCGCCACCGCCAGCACCGCCAGCACCGCCAGCACCACCAGCACCGCCGCCGAAGCCGCCAGCAGGGGGGCCGCCGAAACCACCGCCACCACCTCCGTAGGCACCACCACCGCCGCCGCTGAAGCCGCCGCCAGGGGCACCACCGAAGCCGCCGCCGCCGCCGGCACCACCACCGCCGTACTTGCGGAAATCGCGGTTGCCACTCTGTCCACGGCCGCCGCCACGAGGACGACCGCCACGGCCACCGCCGAAGGAAGACTCACGGGCAATGGTCTCGAGGAAGCTGGGAACTTCCTGGTTAGCCTCCTTAAGAAGCTCGAGAAGCTCGCGGACGACACCACGGTTTCCACGGTTGAAAAATGCAGTGGAGTGACCAGTGTTTCCGGCACGACCAGTACGACCGATACGGTGAACGTAGTCGTCAATGTCGGTGGGCAAGTCGTAGTTGACAACGTGGGTGACGTTGGGGATATCGAGACCACGAGCAGCGACAGCAGTAGCGACCAGAATGGGGCAACGACCGTTGCGGAAGAACTCGAGAGCGCGCTCACGCTCACGCTGGGTGCGGTCACCGTGAATGGAGGTGGCGGGGAAGCTCTGGTTGATCAGGAAGTCGGAAAGAGAGTCGGCCATACGCTTGGTCTCGACGAAGATAAGGGTGAGACCGGCACCGTGGGTGTGGAGAATGTCCAAAAGCACAGAGCGCTTGTCAACGTCCTCGACGTACTCGACCTTCTGGGTAATGTTCTCAGAGGTGGAACCGACACGACCGACGGACAAGAAGACGTAGTCCTTCAAGAAGTCGCGGGCGAGCATCTGGATGTCGCGGGGGAAAGTGGCGGAGAACATGAGAGTCTGGCGGTTCTGGACGTCGGGCATGTCCTCGCCCTCGACAATGCGGCGAATCTGGGGCTCGAAACCCATGTCAAGCATGCGATCAGCCTCGTCAAGCACAAGGTACTTGATGTTCTGCAGGGAGATGCGACCACGCTCTATGAGATCGACAAGACGTCCCGGAGTAGCAACGAGCAAGTCGCAACCGCGCTCAATCTGGCGAAGCTGGGAGCCGATGTCGGCACCACCGTAGACGACGCAAGGGCGGACCCAAGAGCGGTACGCAAACTTGCGAGACTCCTCGTAGATCTGGGAAACCAGCTCACGAGTGGGAGCCAGAATCAGAGAGGTGGGGTAAGCCTTGCGCTGACGACCGAATCCACCAGCCGCGTTGGGAGGAACGGTAGAGGGGCCGTTGATGAAGGCCTGGGACAGAATGGGGAAGAGGAAACCACCAGTCTTTCCGGAACCAGTCTGGGCACAAGCCATGAGATCGCGACCGCCCATGACGATGGGGATCGAGTATTTCTGGACGGGGGTGGGGACCTTGTAGCGGGCCATCTCGATGTTGCCGATGAGGTGGTTGTCGAGGGGAGGGTTCGAGAAGGCCAGGACGGGCTCGGGAACGTCGTGTCCAGAGGCCTCGACGGGGATGTCGTCATACTTCTCGAAGTTGATACCGGTGTGCTGCTTGGACGGGTCGTCGGGGGTACCGAAGAGCTCACGCTCAACACGAGGGTTGGCGGGGCCGGGAATGTGCTTGCCGTCACGCCACTGACCATCGCCAGAGCCGCGAGCCTGCTGGCCACCACCACCACCACCGCCAGCGGCGTGGCCACCGTAGCCACCACCGCTGTAACCGCCACGGCCACCGCCCTCTCCCTGCCAGCCACCACGTCCACCGCGGGGTTGGAAGTTTTGCTGAGGAGCAGGGGCAGCGGCGGGGGGACCGCCGGGACCGCCAGGGCCGCCCATGGCAGGCCAGTCGCCGCCGGGCTGGGCAGCGTTGAAGTTCTGCTGGCCACTGTTGTAGAACGTTAGCAGTTGTCACTTATAACAAAGGCAAGCGGGCAAGAATTGCCCTTATCGCGAGTAGGGAAAGAAAGACTCACCCAGCAGCCCAAGCGCTGTTGTTGATACCACCACCGCCACCGTTCATCGCCGGAGGAGCCGCACCACCCATCTTACGCATGTGAGGCGGGATGTACGAGCGGGGTTGGTTCTGCTGGTCCTGAAGGTTCAGGCCAGACATGTTGAGTTGATCAGCCATGATGGATGATTTGATCGTGGATGTGGTCGGAAAAGTTTGATTGCTCGAATGTCCACGGAAGGGTATCTTGAAATCGATCGACGTGGTCGGATTACTCTCGAAACGACTGAAAAACAGCGAAAGAGTAAAGTCGAAGTGAAGGGAAGCCGGTCCGCGGTTGATAAGAAAGCAAACCGAAGGATGGAAAAAAGAGGAAGAAGAAACAGAAAGTCGGGGGTGTCGACTTTCCAAAGTTTGTCCTTCTCGGTGTTCGTCTATTAGGCAGGCGCGTAGTGCTTTGGCGCACGACGATTAGTTCTTGATACTTGCTTTTCCCAAGATGCGTCAAAGGAAAGACAAGAGAACAAGTGATGAAATGTGATGTGTCGGTGAGGGGGATGGGGGGTTGAAGGAATATAATCCCTTTTGTTTTTGTGAGGTGGGAAGAGTTTTGTGTGGGAGGGGAGGGGGGAGGTTGTGGGAGGAAAAAGGGATTTTGACGATCGGAGGAGGAGGCAAGAAGTAGGGGAGAAAAAAAAAATTCGGTTTGAGATTGTGTCGGAATCCACCAGAAAAGGCCACACACCCCTGCCAACCTGCCTCCGTCAGCACTGGGCGGTGGGCGCTGCTGGCTAAGTAGGTACGGCACCCACGCACCCTACCGCACCTTCCCTCCCAGAAAATTTTGGGGAGGCGCTCCTTCCCTTGTTTGCACTCTGCGGTGAGGTGAGTCTGCGGGCTGTCCTTGCCTCGACTGGACTGGACTGGCCCCCCAGCCTGGACAGGAGGAGCCCAGCCAGTGCTTGCCTTGACTTCCTAAGTTCCCCGGGGCATACGCCCGCCGGCCGCTCAGGCTTCAAGCGGGCAAGACTCAGGACGGGACTCAGGAGTAAGGTATCTACGGATAGTGAGAGCGCACGGCAGGCTCCAGGCTCCCTCTCAGCCGCTACAGCCCGCCAAGGGGGTGGATAAGCAAGGCACCGGATTGGCCACCCTCGAGGACGTGTAGCATGTGCTTGCTTTCTACAGGGTGAAGGGAGCAGAAGTATGATGACATGTGAGGTGACAGGCCACGCTAAACTCTCTCCAACCAACAACCATCCAGGTTTTCCATCCCCCCTTCGTACTTAAACTTTTTTTTTGAGTCACTACCTACCGTAGAGTGCGTAGGTATTTTATCGCCTTCATCTGGGCTGAAGAGGAGGGAGGGAACAGGAACCAATCCAGTGACAGTCCTTTGACGGGACACGGCGGAGATGGAAGGAGAAACCACGAAGAATAACGCCGGTACGTACCCAGGAAGGTAGGTGCCACAACCTGCTCGGGTGCCTTACCTCAGCTGAGGTGAACAAACGTCACGTCCATCGCTACGGCCCGCGCATGAACGGACCTGACCCTAGAGTCCAACTCGGCTGGGTGTTCCGATCCTCTTTCGCAAGTTTAAATCTGGCGCCCCCCGTGCCAAATGACTCTCAACTTTCCCAACGGCATGGTTATACTTTCAGGAACGCGTAGGTGTCATTTCTCCATGGCAAACAAGTCCAGATAAGATAACTGCAGAAGGTTGGTACCTACCCAAATGAGATGATTTCTTGGCTGGGTACGGAGTACAGAGTATTGGGGCTGGCTTTTTCTGGTGGCAGGGTCAGACTAGCGTTTGTATCCGCAGGCGGGAAGAAACAAGAGATGAAGCTCGGGGTTACAGGGTGCCCCGCAAGTCGTTGTAATGGATATATGGAAGACTGGAGACTGGAGTCCTGGTGGCGATAAGATATAATCCAAGCTGTCCATAACCAGGATCATGGCCAAGTCTTACTACGAAATCAAGACACAGGGAAGAGTGCGAGAAAAGGTCTGGCTTGGTGACATCTCACTGCACCGTGACCACAAACCGAACGATTGAGACACGGCCTTTCTATGGACCCCTCAAATCCTCCGTCTATGTGCGCACAATACTGCCATTGGCATAGGAAGAATGAGTATTTGAATCCGGGCGGCGTTCATCACCAACAGGCTGATTTCGAAGAGAAAAAGGATGCGTACTCCTCAGGACGAACCTCAGTATTCGTACTTCGTATGGATAGAAACCTCAGACCACGCCTGGCAGTACTGAAAGACGTCATACCGTGGGGGCACCGCCAAAACCTCGCTTTTCGCAGAGTCCCTCCAGTGGCTGTGCACCAGTCTCTCGACATTCCGACACCACTGGACACAAAATATCACTGTAAAATCCGAATGGGAGTGACTGCGTAGAACGCCGACCAAACACCGCAAAGGGAAAGAAAAAATTGCTTGAGGCGTCGTCGTCGAACAACATCGGAGCCGCCGAACCCGCCAGTTGCAACCCATAAACCAATAAAGAATCGATGCGCGACTAGTCAGCCACCAAAAAGACAGGGAAACATCCAAGGTCTGAAGGGTCAAAAGGGAAAAGGCGCGAGTCAAACGCCGGGGGGTTCGAGGTACAACGGTACATCGGGTCCAGGTCTCAGTGTGTTTTGAACCTATGGATCGGTCGACCGGCCGGAACATCATCCGCCCAGTCAATCACATCACATCCCTCCCCATCAGTCCAACCGACAACATCCTTATAAAACACGCGAGATATTGGACGAGGTCTATAGTTGGGGGGGTTGACCTTTTGGATTTCGGCTGAAGCGCAAGACTTCCTGGTTGAAAAAGGGCAAAGGAACGAACGATTCGAGCAGTTCCGACCGCTGCCTCTTCTGAAAAGTGAGCGGTCCGGCACCCGTTTCAGAACCCATGGATGGCTTCCTGGAACCGTGCCTACTAATGGAAAACTGTGACCTCACCGCTTGAACTAAACCACCCTCCCCTCGCTTCCCGTTTGTTTACCAGGACTGAATGAATCGCTAATACTACGACGGTAGGCTGATACAGTAACCATCACACTGCTGTCGAGCACGGTCAAGCCCGGAATTGGGACTGCCTTGTGTTGACCGGAACAGGATGGCATGATCCCGCGTCTTCATTCATAATGCCGTCCCTTGTTTTCCCGTGCCGATGGTCCCATCCTGCATCACATCAGCGTCCCTTATTCAATTTTCGCCTGAGACACTCGAGTTGTTCAGCCACAGATGAAGCACGGAACAATATCTCTCCAGGAATGGCGTTTCGTCGTGATAGAACTGATGCCTGTATCAATTACCAGCCCGGTCTAGTAGTACAGTTTTGCTGGTTATGGCCTCTCTTTCTCTTGTTCTCTGATGCTCCCTCACACCATAGTCCCAAAAGGCCCTTAATTTCCCGTCATCGCATCCGCAAATCAACCGTCTTAGGCAGCCTTCACCACCTTGTCGTCGTCAAACTCTATGTCGACGATACCGTCCTTGGTTACGGCCTTGACCGTCATGCCCTTGAAGTCGATCGGTAACCGTCTCTTGAGCTCGTCCGTGCACAGGTTGAGGATCTTGATGCCCTGGCCAAGCGTGATATCGGGGTGGTGGTGTTTATCGAGGATTGACAAGCAGTAGTATCTGTTTCGCATCATCGTATTAGCCCAAAATTTTCCTTGGTCCTCATCCGGGAGCTTGGCTGCGAAGCTGAAGCAGCTGTATATAGAAGCCTCCAGAGCTGGTCAACGTACTGTGCGTAGCCGTGAGCGGCATATGGGAGGGGCGCCAACGACGCAAGGTAGTCCAGCCAGTACAGCGCGGGCTTCTGTGTGATGGGATCGACGCCGCCGAGGAGCAGGTTGACGTTGTACGGCTTCCGCGACCGCAAGCTCGAGGCAAGCTCGCCACGAACAAAGTTGGCGAGGCCGGAGGGGGAGAGGTCTGTCTCATTGCGCATCGAGTAGAGCTGGGAGTTTGCTTGGATATAATCGGCGAATTGCACTAAGTATCATCAAACTCAGGTTAATAAATCGTAGCTCGCGTATCGTGACCGAGCCGAGTCGGAGGGGTTGGACTCAATGCTCGCCCCTCCATCTCCGGCGGGGTTGGAGCTCCATGATGTAGGAGACTCACCGGTGTCACCAGACTCTCCAGAGTATGCAATCAGTGTGTTCTTGTTCAGCGATCTCGTCTTGTCGTCGGCAGTCTTCAGGACTGTTGCACCACGCATGGCAGCTTTGGAAGCTGCAATGATGGTGAAGTCCTTGCCCGTGATACCCAGTAGTACCTCCCTGCCAATCGCACTCCATATTAGCTTACTGCATCTCCGATAGTTAGAGAATCGGGAAGCTGGTATCTCACATTCTGGCTGCTGTTCTGGTTGTTGTCTACTTGGTTTTGTTGTGGGGGATTAGGTTGGTGATGTTTCGTTCGTTGGTGTTGAATGTCGGTTGTTCGTCAGCCTTCGACCTGCCTTCGAGAGCTACCCCCCGGAACGCGCAGTCAAGCTACAGCCTGAACAGACGAGCCGTCCTGGGTGGATTCTGCCTAGCTTGACCGCTGCCCGCCCGGAAAAACCATCCCTGATCAGCTCGCTCATGATTGGGTGCATCTATACCCCACACTGACAATTGATTCTCCGAGATACGTACCCACCGAACTTTTTTTTTCTGGGAAGCCCACCTCGAGCAGCCAGACGAAAAAAAAAATATCGTCAATGTAGGCGGGCCAGGACGGAAAGTTGTTTGCCCAGATTCCCAGGCAAAGCACAGCGAACCGCGCTCTCTCTACCGCCCACAATGTCGTCCTTTTTCACGATACCTGGCGCCAACAAGAAACGCAAGCGAACAGACGGCCCCGCGGCCCCCAAGAAGCGAATTGCCGCCTCAAAGACGTCTAACAGAGCCCCTCCGAAATCTGCTGCACCGGCCAAAGGCGGCAGCAGAGGCAAGAAGACGGCAGCGTCAGCACCGGCCTCCAAGAAGCGAAATGAGCGTGACGACGACGACGAGTCGATCTCGGGCAGCGACTCTGACATCGAGAGCATAGCCTCCGCCCCCGAGGAGAGCGACAATGGCTCGTCTTCCGACGACGAAGGCGGCGCGGGCGAGACGGCCGCCGAGCGCCGGCTGAGGCTCGCCGAGCGCTACCTCGAGAACGTCAAGC